TCCTAATAGCACAGAAGCAGTTCACTCCTTTGGGGTAACAGTCACAAATCAATGTTTAAATCCCTCCTCTTGAGGCGTCAAAAGGTATCAGACACTACTCTTCGCACGTCAGTGGAAGCACATTTCATGTCCTTTCAATAAAGCCCATACAAAATGGTAGGTCAGCGCTGAAGACAAAAAAGTTTTTCAATTGCCTCCGTCAGACCATGTCCTCAGAAAATGTCCTAAAATTTTGCCCTGTGCCCCATTGACCTTTTGACGGTGACTCCAATTTCGGCACAGCTGATGGCTTTTCTTCATGATGCTCCGACTTATCAGAGCCTAGGTCGAGCCGGTTTAAGATTTGTGCCGCAATTCTGCATTTCCTTCCTTATACCTTAAGTTAAGGAGTGAATGTTCCCCCTTATTTTACACTCTCTTGACTTTGACCCTTTTGACCCTATGCTTCGACATTTCCCATTCGTTTCTGGATTACCCCCCCACGTCCCGAATATCGATGGCCGTACGTCGATGCGTGATTAAGATTTGCTGCATTGTTGACGAGGGCATTGGACGGACGCAGCGACGGCCAACGACGCAACGGACGGACGATCAATGTCGATTCTACAAGCTGCATCTTTGACTATGTCAGTATGATGCTAAAATACGGAATATATAAATAAATAACGATTAAGATACGATTAACTTAATAATAATAACAATAAAATCTCAATGAATAATAATAATAATAATAATACAAAATAATAACGAAAGAACGAAATAAGAAATAACAACAGACGAACAGAAATAAGAAATAATAACAGACAAACAGATGGGTTATACACTCTGTGACTCACTCGCAGTTAGAACGACAAACAGACAGAGCGTATAGAAGCATACTCTGCCAATCTGGTTGTAAGTTCTCCAGTTTGGTGCTCTAGTCGCAGACACACCAATTCGTCCTGCCTGGAGGTCACTCCTGCCATGAAAGAAACGCTCTTTCGCCCACTCGTGAATACTGCTGCTCACTATGATGTCTCCAGCCCACGACGATTCTGGTTAAGATTATATATCTGCGATCTTTAAGTCTTATGAGGGTCCTCATGCACAGCAGTTATTAATCTGTTGTGCACTTAAAACTGTAAAAACAAATGATTAGTAAAACAGCTTATAATTAGCTTTTTTGAAACATGTGTAAGTCCACGGACTTTCCTGCCCTTCAAACGAAGAGGAAGTCCGTTTAGCAATAATGGGGAGTCTCGGCAGTCTGAATTCAACAACTAAAGCATAAACAACAATAATGCAACATCGTGCTTTTATTTTCGACAGATTATTGCCATGCATGCTCTGCCGAAATTTCTCTTTGGATCATTTGCTGAAAAATACGGTATTTCCCCTACGAGGCCGTGCTTCTGGAACGATACTACTAATTTGTTTATAACAGAATTTTCATGGGAGTCACACGGACTCCTGCTCCTGCATATGTCAAATCGGGGAGTACGACAGTAAATCAGGGAGTATTTGACTCCGGACTCGCGTTAATTTCGCACCCTAAACATTTGAGTGTTATAGCACAGCTGTACTGCAACAGCAATGCAGATATGACAAACAATACTGCAGCATTAATTAATATACTAGGAATAGGACTAGTGTTTATTTTTAGTTCCTCGCAGCATTCCTAGTTTCTTCATCATTTTGTCTCAAAATCATAACTGAGGTGATTCTATCATTGATCACACGAACCCATTCACCTGGATTGATGAAGCCTGAGAGAATACCTAGCGATGTCAGATTACCTGAAAGTATGATGCAACAAACATTCCCAGTCCGATGTAGACGTAGTACAGAGCGTACTGGTTCATTTGCGTTTGGAAGTCTTCAGCAGTGAGCGCGCCATCCGGGATGCTGTCATTGGTTATATTCTGTAAAACAGCACATAGTGTAATTATAACATCAAATGTTTATACTGTGTGAAGTTTTTAGAGTGTCATTATAACATCAAATGTTTATACTGTGTGAAGTTTTTAGAGTGTCGTTATAACATCAAATGTTTATACTGTGTCAAGTTTTTAGAGTGTCATTATAACATCAAATGTTTATACTGTGTGAAGTTTTTAGAGTGTCATTATAACATCAAATGTTCATAATCTATGAGAGGTTTCCATATTATGACCACACTACACTAACCATGAATAGTGAAGTCAAAGCAGGGTATACACAATCAACTAAAACTAGTCGCCTGAATGGTTTCCATGGTAACAGTTATGCCATAATTGAAAACCAGAATGGACCATGTATTTCTCTACTATTGGAGGACGCATGAATGACCCAACTTTACCCTTCTTTACCCTGTTACCATTACTCAACACCTGGTAGTTACTGACTAGCTGATGAGCAGTACCCAACTCTCTGCAACCCCGAACGACTACCAACCCATTCACATGACCATAGAATAAATTAATGTCTCACAAAGTCTCCGACGTCGATGAAAGTGTCCGTCATGGCACCGAACACCACGGCCAAGACTGGCCAGCCTGCTCCATGGGCAGCCGACCACAAAGACCCGATTACTATCAAGAGAACATCCAGTTGCGTCGCATAGCGGAACTGCAGGTAGCACAAGAAAGGTTTTGAATTCGTGAAAATTGATCGACTTGCTGGTTAATGTCATTATTCACATGTCCAGAGTATTAACTACGTTGACTTTTTTCAATACATTATTTTGAAATTGTACTATCAAGTAATTTCATTTATAGGGTCACGTACAATGAGTATGAGGTTACAGCCATTTATAAATATGAGAGGGTTTGTCACGAACAGAAAACTAATGTAGGCCACCAAGAAGTACATAAATAATACCATGAGCTCATGTATTCTCACACTCTCTCTCTCTCTCTCTCTATCTCTCTTTATCTCTCTCACTCACTCTCTCTCGCTCTCTCTCTCTCTCGCTCACTCACTCTCTCTCTCTCTCTCTCTCTCTCTCTTTATCTCTCTCACTCACTCTCTCTCG